CTTCTCATTTCTCTGAAAAATAAAAGAAGAAAAGAAAAAAGCCCCAACAGCATCAAATTGTATTAGTTACATTTCTTAACTCCATTGCAGTAACTTTGCCTTACTGAAGTTCCACTTTTTAATTCTCTTTTTTGCTCCCATGCTCTTTTCTCCTGTATAATATTCCCTCTGTCTTGTTTTCCCTTTGCAATGTTGGGTTCAGCTGAAGCTGTTTTTATGTCCCAGAAACTTGTGCCAAGATACAGTATTGTGTGCTCTGGGGTACCTACTGTCTCTCTTAAGGCAGCCAAAGGTTATTTAGGAATTGCCACCCTAGCACTAATCAAAACCTTCTCTCTGAGAATTAACTGAATGTATGTCCTGTGAAGGGACCAGACAAACTCCGGTCTACATCAAACCTGAAAGGAGGCATAATGCTTCAAAAATGGGTGGGGTGGGGGAAGAAGCACCTTATGGAGAGTGGACAACACATCAGTCTTTACAGGAGAGACAACTAAGTAGGTAAAAGTTGCAGTCAGCTATCACCACTTTTCTTTTTCCTTTATATGTCCCTTAGCTGTGCAGTTCAGCACTGTGTTTGCAGAGGCTTATACATTCTGACAAATTCTGGTTGCTACCTTAAGAGCACTTATTCCCCATGGAAACTCATTTCACATCTCATCAGTTACAGCAATGAGATGGGGAAACTGATTTCTTGTTTCTCTGTGGTAGGTGCATGCTGGCTTGATAGCACAGCCACAGCTGAACCGAGTCCTGGCCTGAGTTCCCCCACACCTTCTCTGAGCTGAATGATCTCCATGTTTACAGTCTTTGCCTCTTTAAAGAGCAGCTCCAGGCATTTTAAGGAAATGAACTGCAATGGGAGACACACTTTTATATCAGGTTCACTTTAGCAAGTTAGACAGCAGTAGGGCTGAGCTCTGATTAAGCTGCACCCCCGTCCATTTCCATGTATTGCTTTGTCTTTCCCTTGCACAGAGCATTGCAACATAACTCATATCACTTATGGCAGACTATGCCTGAGAGAAGTTTTCAGACACTGCCAGGATTTGGCCTGTTTGGTTTGAAGGGTTCATGACACTATGTGGTAAGTCATGAGTATTTGTCCAGGGTATTTGCTCTGCTCCAAAGCAAACCCAGAAGCCACGGAAAACCACAGAGCCCCACAAGACTCCTGCAAGGAAAAAAAAACATAACCCACCAATAAAAGTGTCTGTTTACCCAAGTTATGAACCCATTCATTTCTGAAAACTGATGAGTATTTTGGTAAAGTCATGGCTAACTTCCAGGCTATAAAGAAGACCAAAGATCTCAAGATTAACATCTCTCAGGGCAATAAAGAAAAAGCTACCCTTCATTGTGGCCATGTCATGTTCTCATTTTCCCTGCTGTTGCATCACTTCTTACAGTCAGTTGTGACAGAGAAGAGCTGTACATTCCCTTCAGGGAACTGGAGCAGCACCCTCAGCTTGGGAAAATTAAAGGCTCCATGTGATAGCTATTAGTCCTGAGAGGTTAGGCTAGGAGAGAGTGCTCAGTGATTACAGTGGGAGGCTTTGAACAGAGAACTGAGAGGGAACCAAAAAGCATTTAGAGCATAAGGAGAAGATAACCTTGAAATCTCTCTGGACTAGAAGCCTCTCTCAAGAAACACCCTGGACTTTAAGGTCCTCACAGCTGCCAACACACAGCTACTCCAGCACTCACCACTAAGCCAAAAAGGAGCCTATCGCTTCTGGAAAATTTGCCTGCCTGATTTGCTCACACAGAAATACTGGGTAGCTCAGAAATGCCAGGGAACTTTTAAGTCATCTCCAGCAACATTTTTACTTTTGAGGACAAGCACATCCATGTGCAAGGCACAAAGCTCTTGCAGGTTCAGGAGTTCAGTAGACGAAGCTCCAGGATAGAAATTAGGGAAAATCAGTCTGGCAAGGTAAGGGATTTAGGGTCTGCAGGACTCAGTTTCAGCTACTTCAAACACCTTCTTTGCTCCACCACCTAGTATTTCTGGTGTCTTCTGTAAATCAGATTAACTGAGACTTGTGTTTGAATCTGGCCTGTATCATCCTGTAGTAGAAGGCTGAGCTTTTCAACCAAATTAATGGTGCTGGGGATTTTATAAAGTGTAAAACTCCATCCTTCGTTATGCAACTAAGGCTCTTTGGATAAGGTTAGTGGGTTTTAAATTGGCTTTTAAGAGAGTAAACTGGATCTATGGTTCTAAAACTGGCATGTGGAGAGGTGTTCCTCAGTGCCTTTTCCACCTGGTGTTTAAGTAAAATTAAAGTGTTAAAGGAGAATAAGAATAAAAATGATTAGCTGTGTGCGGCTAATAATAATAATAATAATAAAGTGGAAAACATTTTGGACTGAAATGAATGGACACATCTTTAGTATGTCATACATGAATTTATCTGCATGACTTCCACTCTTGTTAATGGGAGACACTTGGCTAAATATCTGCTCAGTGAGCTGTTAATTCATCCCTAAGGGATAAAATTTTAATTTAAATTTACAGAGGCCATTTAATGTTAAAGATGAAACACTCTCTTGAATTCATATGGTTTTCAGAGTAGCGAGTAGGAAAATAAATTAGCAGTAATATTTTTTTGTGAATGTTGAATTTCCTGAATTTAGTGATTAATTTGGGGCAGTCATGGCATCCTGATGCTGAGCAATACCTGGCTAGTGTGACATTCTGGTGTTCCAGCACTAGCTGTTTCCAAACACCTGAAAAAAGTGCTTGGTAATGTATTTATAATTAACATTTTTCTTTCTAGCTACTGTCAACAATTGATTTAATTTTTGATACAGGTGTAACCCAGGATTCCTTAGTTTGTATTTGACTTTTAGTTCTTTCAGAAATCTAAATTATGCACAACTCATATTTAAGCGTTGAAATTCCATACAGATTTACTGTGAAAAAAAAACCCAATTCCTTTTTATAATTCTAAATTAGTTCCTTTCCAGTCTCTCTCTTGTTCGTTTTTAAGGAAAAGATTATTTAGGAAGATCTAATTTTCTTTTAGCTACTATTTATTACTTCCTATCTTTCACTCTGTCCTCTCTTTAGAATTTTGTTTTTCTAAATGAAATGATCCAAAACTTTTGAGCCACTTTCCTTACAAATGTTTTTGATCTGTATCTTCCCCTACATCTCTTGTGATGTGTGATTGCTGCTTCTATTTATTTTTCCTAGTCCTGCCTTTGTCCTTTTGAGCATCAGTGGTCAAAACTTAGTGTAAGTTCCCCACCAATTTATCCAGACCACAGTATTTGCTGTGTTATTACCCCTTCATCTCCATTCCCGCAGAAGACTGTCACTTGTCTTTTTCTTATCACTGCACCAAACAACTGTTTTTCTGAAGCTTTTCACAGTGATTCACTGTGTAACCTTTAGCCCAATTTCCACCCTTCATTTCTTTCTCCTCTCCTCACACACCCAGTGTTATATGAATAAATAATTGAGACCACTCATCCTAATGCTTGCTGCTTTTCTATCCTGCATTTATAAGCAGTTAAAAAGACCTTCTGAAATTCCTCAGAGCCTTCTGTGCTGTTCAAGTATGTTATCTCCTGTGCCACCTGTCATTTTTGCCACCTCTCTGTTCAACTCCCTCCAGACTGAACACACATGAAATAATAATCTTTGTACTCGGGGCACCCTCGGATAGCCCTTTCCCATTTAGAAAATTGCTCGTCTCTTCCACCTCATTGCCCTTTATCTCTTAACCAGCTTCTAATCCATGTCTGATCTTGTCTGGCTGACTGTTTGCTCTCTGCAGGAGGTGCCAGTCCTTTTAGCATTCTTGTACCATGTTGTGGTGCTGTGTAAATATTTATTCATATATAAGGCATTCTGAGTTAATTTTATCAGCTCATAGTCATCTAGCTGCTTTATACCTATTAATTTTTTTTCCAATTAACTTTTCTACCACTGAGATAAGGCTTTCTGCTCTGTAATTACTAGGGTCATCCCCTGCATCTTGTTTAAAATTAGAGAAAATATCAACTGTTCTCCAGTCCTAGCATGTGGAGTATGCTGAATTCTGCAGTTATGTGTGAGAAAATATCTCTTACCTTTGAAAAGAATAAGCACACTGCTCACAGTGTGGGCAGGTTATGACCCTCAACAACCCTCTGCTATTGCAGCCCTGGGGTCTCTCAAGATAATGCCTTCATGTTATGGGCCTACATCGCATCCAGGTCTAAAGTCCATAAAACCCATTTTCACTTGGGCCTTAGGCCAAGTAGTAAATCAGGCTCTTACAAGAGGTATGTGTCAGAAGAAAGTCAGCATGGCATGCAGCTATCCTACCTTCCAACAGCTGAAAGGCAGCTACCAAGTAACTTTCCTATATATGCACACTTTAGGGAACATCACTCCTGGCATGGTCTGAAAATACTGCTTTAGAGGAAAAAATTCAAAATGCTCCTTCCTTGTGTTTTTCCTCTCTAGATGCATTCTTAATGGATTGAAATAATGCTCATTGTTTCCATGCAAAATTTTTGCCTTCCCAAAAATTTGCTGAGTGAGGAAAAAAAGCTAAGGCTGGATGATTCAGCTGCCCCCTGTAAGTAATAAATCTGGAAGGGAAGAGAGTTTACAAATGACTTAATTGTAATTTCCAGGTGTGAGCCTAAGTTTAAAGCAAGAGGAAATGAAGTCAAATATCTCATGTCTCTGTGTTACTATAAAGAGTATTTCCAGTGGTATATACATTTACTTTGTATTAGTCCTTGACTGGGAAAAATCAGTCCAACATAAAGCTCATTCTTGAAACAAAGCTCACTAGGATGCTGTGGTGGCATCCACTCAGAGGTTGCAAAAGTTCTCTCCAACTTCTAAGTTAACTTACAAGCAAACACTGCCAACACCCCTTTCTCACACAGACACAGTCTATTAACAAGCAGCACACAGAGCTCTGCGAAAAGACTTCAGAATCCATGCAAGCAGTAAATACCCAAAAGAAGTAACAAAGAAAGAATGAAGATACCTCATGGTATTTTTTCACCGTTTTCCCTGACACGCAGGTGCAGGATTTCCAGTTTGGAGTCCCACAGCCACAGTTTCCACCACAGCGCTGGACCAGGAGGCAGCGGGGGAAGAAAACGACATTTGTCAGCTTCAGCTCCTCCCTTAAATTGACAGAGTAGTTCCTTGGAGTGCAGCTGTAACGCTTCACATCATCATTCAACCTGTCCAGGTCAACTGCAATGCAAAAGAAGTTTCACTGGTGAGGTTAGAGTGGGACATTCCTCTGGTTTATGCTGCTCCCCAGGCAGTCAATAACACTGAATGATGGGGTGCTGGTTCAAAGATATGTGAAGCATAGGAGTGATTTCTGAACAGATAAACATAAACCTACCAATTTTAAATCATTAGAGGTGGCCATCCAGGCTGTCATCCTTCTCCCACTGACTGCCATAGCACAGATCACACCGACCATAAAGGTGAAGGGAAGGTTTGCAGTAAAATACTGGCTTGAAAGCTGAAGACTGGTCATCTTATTTGCTTTGTCATTCATTGTTGGATCCTTGGGCAAGAGATTCCACTTCTGCTACTCTCTTCCCTCCCTCTGTTTACACCTGCCTTACTTAGATGCTAAGATCTACTTTTTTATTATGTGCAAAAACAAGGCATTTCCTGTGGTCAGTAGAGAAACATTTTTGGAGAGTGATTCATCCCTTCCTGGGCAAGAGCCTTTAGGACAGCCTGCATGACTTTTTTCTCAAGTTGCCTGTCTGTACTGCTTATGAATAGAATTTAGATAATTCATTTTTAGATGGAGAAACCAATCTAAGCAGTATTAATTTCATCTGGTAAATGTTACTATAATAGGCATACAAATAAATACAATTAAAATTAATAGGCCCATTGAATGCCAGTAGTTGGTTGGTGTTTAAATGCCTAGTATCTGCGATCTGTCATGTAAACAAGTGGTAAAGCCAGCCATAAAAATAACTTATAGACTATCAAATGTGAGTTTAAATGCTGTTTCTAGCTTTAGCTTGTAAAGCAAAAACAAAACAAAAACCCGCTTTTATAAATATATTTTCCACAATTGTGACACAGAGGAAAGAAACAGATTTAATGAGTTCTCTTTCTAATAGAAATAGATTTCTTTTTCCTTCTTTTTTTGTCTTCTTCTTTCCTTAGGATTCGGTCCACCAACTAAGAGTTCAGAGGTCAGTAATTCATTCAGGAGTGGGGGACATGTGAGCTTGTGTGGAGCTTGACTCCAAACAGTGTTTGCTAACAAAAGCATCAACAGGAAAATAGGGATGGCTCAGATGAGAACTGAGGTAACAGTCTGGTTTGTGAACATATCAGATTTCCAGGGCCTGTTTAATGGGTCAACATAACCTCTGGTTCTGAGAACACTTATGTTTGTGCTTTAATACAAATATGTGAAAACTTACAACAAAGACACTTCATATTTTCTGAGACTCAGGCATTGTCAACATCACTAAGTTAATTTTTGAAAAAGCTGTTGATTTGTAAATATCATGCACCTTTACATTTTGACCTGGAGATATTCACAAGGCTGATATGCAAGAGGCAAGGGTACATAAATGTCAGAAGTGCTATTATAGAAAATCATAGCAGATTCACTTTCCTGACAAGGTGTTATCTCAGTCAATGGGAATTTAGCAGATAAAGTGCTATTTTATAGCAATTATGATACATCCCCCCATGAAGCTCTCCAGAGAGCTAGCATCTCTCCAAAAGAGGTATAGATCATCCTCCTGCTATAAGCACAAAATCAATGGGACTGGTGGTATACTCATTCACTAAGAGAAAAATACACTGTGAGTGTCCTTAGCCAGGACTGGCAAGTCCAGCCTTAGCCAGGACTGGCAAGTCCAGAGTATATTGATTTCTTTGTTTTAACAGATGATATTTCCTTCTCCACTGTTATTCTTCAAAGCCACCTCTTCTCACTGCAGGCTTCAGGTTAATTCTTTCCACAGGGAAGTGTTTCCCACACCTCTAAACATTCTCATCAGGACCTTTGCCATCAGCTTTGTTAACTGGTAAAGCAAACACTATCAGGCTAGTACTCATTTCAGCCAACTGATATGAAGAAAAAAAAACTACTGAAGGAAGAAGAGGGCTGGAAACTTTCTGCCTTCATCACTAAAGAGATTGTTTGAGGGGAAAACCTGGATCATCCACACTGACACTACAGTAATCCAGAGGAACATCTATGAGATACTTGGATAAACAGTCTTATTTTAGTGATGTTGAAAACATGAAAATAAGTAATGTCAAGCAGAGAAGAAAAGCCTAAATAAACATTTAAGAGGCACAAAAGTCATCCTCCATTAAAATTCAATTGGAGGTAAACACCTACACTCTTTTTTACCCTGCTCTACAGAACTGCATTCTGAACAACTCTCTCTCCTGAAAGCTTCAATATGCATTTTTTCCTGTCTTTGGGTTGTTTTACTGTCAGGAGCTAGTCCATTTCCTTATCCATATAACAATGAGATTTTACAGTACAGACAGTTTCATGCATCACTTCACTGCTGTGACTAAAATGTAACTGAGCCTTGGTGTGATTGGTGTGAAATCCAGCTGCTTTACTTATCAAGGACTGAAACCACTGGAGTCCTTAATTTAAAACTAGAACTAAAAAGTCTTTTAGACTGGATGAAAATAATTCCCAAGTATTATTATAGAATGTCTTCATCAGAGACAGCTTAAAACTAAGGGAAACATAAAAGAGATGGACCACTAAACTGGATACTTGGGGCCCAATGTTTACCCCTCCCTTCCCTTAAATCCTCTGCTTAAAATCATTTCACATAGCTCTATGGCATGTATTTACCTTGAAGCATTCATCAAAATATTCTGTGATTCTGTGATCTTAATCAGAGGTAGGCACTGAAATCAGAGACTGCAGCTAATGTCATGTTTTATTCTGAAAAGGGGAGGCTTTAAAGATTGAGGAGAAAGCTTCTTCGGCTGGTCATTGATTAATTTTAAAGAGATAGATGGTCTGTTAGGGTTGCTTTTAACACTTTATCTATTCAAAATTCACACACGGTCTTAACATCATCATAGCTGAATGTTCTACACTTTTTTAATGCGTCAGTCACAGAGCAGAGTGAAGGTGTAAGAAATGGCAGCCGCCTTGCCATGATATTCCTATGCTGCATGTCAAAGCCACCTACAAGCAAGGCAAGCAGGATTTGGGCAGCTGCAGACTGGTCAGCCCATGATAAAGTGAAGGGGGAAATCTTGGAAGCAGTGCCCAGGCACATGACAGACAAGGGGATGATTTGGAAAATCGAGAATATATTTAACAAGACAAACTTCAGAGTCAGCTCTGATGAGACATCTGTCTTGCTGGATGAGGTGAAAGCAGCAGAAGCATCTGCTGGTTTTTGAAAGTGATGAATAGCATCCTTGCCGCCAGATTTCTGAGATATAATGGAATAGGTGGACTATAAATTCAGTAGATAACTGGAGTATCTGAGAGGCATGAGGAAAATGGCCAGCAATTTGAAGCACAATTGGTAGCTGGCTAGTATTTGTATTCTCCACAGGGTAATGCTGGGGTCAATACTGCAAAAGATCTGCGGGTAAACTAGAGGCTCTGTATATGTCCATGAAGGCCATTCAGACTAGTGCTGTATATGACTGAAGCTATGGTGTGGCTGAACTTGAGGTGGAAAATTCACAAATAAGATGGAGAGGGACTTTCAGGGCAAGGACAAGGGGATATTGATTCATAATGAAAAAAAGTAGGTTTAGATTAGATATTAGGAAGAAATTCTTTACTGTGAGGCTGGTGAGACACTGGAAAGGGCTGCCCAGAGAGGTTGTGGATGCCCCATCCCTGGAAGTGTTCTAGGTTGGATAGGTTTTGAGCAACATATCTGGTGTCTCTGTCCATAGCAAGGGCATTGGAATTAGATGATCTCTAAGGTCCTTTTTAATCCAAACCATTCTGTGATTTTATGATCTCAATAATATAACAGTGAACACTGGGATTACCAACATAATGATATCCTAACAATTATATGGCAATAACAAATGAAATGTAATTTCCCAGTCACATCTTCTGCTGGTTGAATCATATAAACGCTCTGACATTGATGAAATTATTCTCCATACCAAATTTAGACCAAACCCTGTGGCTTCTAGACTTCAACACATATGGCTGATGGTTTTCACTGTTCCACTGCACATGCTTAATGATATCACAATAAGCAATTTGTTAAATATACCTGAAAACTTGGGAGCTGTCTAAATCCTTCTCACAGGAGCTAAGAAGATCACGCAATTTCCATTTACTTTACAGCACTAAGACAAACTTCCTTAATACAGCAACTATTATTTTAGAGGAACGAAAAGATCAAGATTTCAGTAGGATTATAGCTGTTTTCATGGAACAAAGGGCAAAATATATAGGCCTATTATGGACTGGCAAACCAATTATCAGCTGTGGTACAGGTCAAGTAGCAAAAGCAGGCCAAACTATTGGACACAGCTTCATTGAAATCAATGGAAAAGAGCAGCTTATTTCAGTGATAAATAACATGCTGTAAGTTTCACTAGCATTTTAAAAAAGGGTTTAATAAGAAAATCTTTCACTGCAGTGACCAACGATTACATCGTGTAACATGTGAGGGAAAATCTCATTTGTCACAGAGGGGGAAGGTAGGAATGTAGATCTGAATTAGATTGTGAAATGAATGAATGTGTGCAGTTTGAAAGCAACAGACAACTTGGTTCCTAACTGAAGAAGGGTGGGGGAAATAGTCTGGCTTTTTAAGCACAGGGAATACTTTAAATTATCAGGTATTTAAGAAGGTATTCCATGTACTTGGAATATTCAAATTTGCCGTGCATGAGCGAGCATTCAGCATTTGTGATGCCTGCACTCCCTGTCTGGTGCACTGAAACTTGCTGGCAGCTGTCCCAGAATCTTTCAAGGAAGAGTGCATGGACGTTTGCAGTAATTTACTGGCCAGTGCTTGCAAGCCTCTGAGAAATAACATTAAAATTTTAACTTCTTGCTAGACCATTTTAAGTAATGAGAATTAGAAACTATTGTAAAGGACATGGTGAAACTTGACTGATCTTGGGAACTGATTTGGCAATGAACAGCAGAAACATTCTGTGAAGAACCATTGTCTGACCTCACTACTCCCCTTCCAGAGAGCAGTGCGGTTCTGCCAGCAAGTGTTTATTTATTT